TCTCATTAATATGTGAAAAAAATTATCGAAAATATTGAAAATATTTGTTCAGTTTTTATTTTTTAATATGTAATACCTACGATAAGACAATTATTTTTTATGATTATTATTCATCTCAGTTCAAGCAAGTATTTTATTTTTATTATATATTTTAAAGAATTAAAAATCACATATCTCTTAAAGACTGAAGTACAATTCTGAATGGTTCATTGTATAATAATGTTAGCAGAACATTTATTAATTGAAGTGTTTATACATTGAATTTACGAKGCGATATATTTTTTACAATGTGTTAAATACTATACTAATTTAATAAATAGTAATTATAATTCTTAGTAGGTAGCCATAAATATAAATAAAATTCTAATTAATTTCAAAAAAAAAAAAAAATTAAGATATGTATTTTTGAAATTCATTAGAATTGTATTTATAAAAAGTCGGGGTTTTAAAATAAAATTTGTAAACATCTTAAAAAATAATAGTGTAGAGATCTCAAGGATTTTTTTAATTGATTTAGATACATATTTTTTAAGTGTTATGCATAAGTATGATAAAAATGTTTCACATTTCTCTCGTRTAAAACATGTTCTAAGATAAAAATTGTATGATAGTACAAAGAAGACTTGTTACAGAATTCAAAATTATATTTACTTTCTCTATTTTAAGAGTCCCCTAAACAATAAAACGAAAATCACACGTTATATTGGTGACAACTCATACCTATTACCTAAGTGATTCTTAAATGATTTTTAAATGTCATTATATACAAAATCTATGTAAGTTTTACATGGTTTTCCTGTGCAATTCCATTGCGCTATAATTATAACTTATAATTATAATTATAAACCATTACTCATAAACTTCTCGTCCAAAATTTGATTTTTACACATCAAAATAATACTCCGAATAATACTATTCTTCGAAACGTGAAATTTTAAATGCACATATTATCATACAAAAATAAATGAACTTYAAAAGTTTAACGATAATGAACGATAATAAAAAATATTTTAACAAACGTTAATAGTTTTTATGAAATAATGAGTGGTAAATGATAAAAGAAACATTATATATATACATGGTAAGCTAATTATGCTCCTTAAATCCACAACAATAATGTGCACACATAACTTCCAGCTATAATAATAATATATTTTCTGATTTAGAGAGACGGATTGACGATTTATTTTATTAAACATTCTATACGAAAATTTCCACATTGACCTCWCAGGCACCGGAGTGCTGTTCACTGAAGATATAGGTCAGTGGTCGTATAAAGACAAATTACAATAWAAAAAAAACATATTTAGTATTTACAGRATAAAGTGAACGGGATCAATGTGAAAAATCTTCCCGTAGCGTAACTAACAGTAAGTTATTTGTGTGTATTGTGTAATATCAACCAAACCACGAAAATAGCAACGATTTTCTGAGCTCCAAAATCTCATGTCTTATTCMACATCCTCATTCTGTCTCGTTCTAAATACGATTTTTAAATATGACACTATTTGAGTAGAAAAAAATGCTCCAATCATCTACTTTAATCTGTATTATATCTTRTATCTGGTAGCAAATTAAACCTAGTTTGTATTTTAAAGGGTCAAATAATTAGAAGTTCTTCAGTGCTTATTACTGTTTAAAATAGACAGGAATAAAGGTAGAAGCAAGGGTATCTCTTTACTATACAGTATAGATGTCGAATTGGTCATGTAATAAAAATCGTGTCTATTTATCATTGGTATTTAAAAAATAGATTTATAACAACTTATGAGGAACTACCTTGTATTAAATTTTCAAGTTTAATGGCCATGCGGAAAATTATTTAACTCCATTTATGAAAAAATAAAATTCATAAATCAAAAATGTATCGTGCTTATATGTTTAATTACAACAAAATATCGATTRATGCCAAATTGTTTATTTAATAGTAAATATGAAATGCCATACAAATTTGAACTTCAATCTCGAACTAAAAATGAATGTAACATATTGGTAAACTTTTTTACTGTCAGAGGAAAAAAATATTAGAAATTATCAAATCTCAGATATAAAATGAACATTTTTATGAATTTCTTACCTAATCAAAATGTTTGTGATTTGGCGAATTTTATCAAAACGGTGACCTGTTAACGAAGTGAAAAACTTTTGTCATCAATTTTTATATAAAAAAAAAAAACTTGAAAATATCAAGTGTCTATAAATAGCTCAAAGGATTCAAAATATTTTGGAAATAGGTACATAAATAATTTGTAAAAATTTAAAGTACATACCTAGATGTTTATTTTTTTTTTTAGTTACTACAGAGTAAAGTGAACCTAATCAAAAAGTAAGACATAATTCAAAAATGTTTTCGTRTACAATGATAGGTATATTGTATGGTTCAGTGATGTAAATTTATAGATACTAGATTTAAAATGAATATTATGATCAGTGGAATGGTGGAATTTCTTTACCTGTGTAGCCAACAAAACTTGGAATCCACCACCTGTAACACAAAAACCGCATTTTTTGAGGGAACTTAGCAGTTTTATACTTGGATTATTAATTTTACTTTCTTTGACGTAAGAAAATTCAAATTAATCAAAAGTTTAAGAATGAAGAATCTTTTGTTAAAAATTAATGACAAACATAAAAACTTAAAATAACACACACAACATACACAATTGCAAAACTAATACATAGGTACATGTAACTCCATTGCTCCGCCCAGATACTTAAATAAAATAATAGCTTTTTTTCGTTAAAAAAATAATCAATTATTACAATACATAATTTTTTATTAGAATAATGTCAGTATAGGTATACTATAGGTATACTAAAATTATAAAAGATATTTGCAGCTTTGATGACTCCATGTGACTTTTACTAAMCAATTTTTCTTTTTTTACATATGATATAAATTATATAATTATTTCATGGTTTACATAAAATTTCACATGAACGAGATGATCACGTGCAGCCAATATCAAGATAATTATAGCAATAAATAATATAACAATTATTGATAATACGAGCATTTGTTTGATAAATCTGGTGTACATTTCAATATTGAACCATACTACGAGATACGCAATAATATAGTTTGTATTATYATATTATTTAGTGCTTGTCGTTCAATCGGGCTCGTAGATGTCATTTCCATTTCCCAATGCCAACGTTTTCACTGAACGTGCCAAAACAGTCAAACAGATTTAGTCAAATTTAATACGGATCACGGATGGGTGTGTTACAGACAGTGGATGAAAACGATAGGATCGTATGAGAACATGGTAAAGAATTCCATTAGAGTACTAGTGAGCGGGTAAAATAAATGCACCGGCTGTTAATTGAATTACGTTTGCGGAAATTGTGTCACCGGTAATGATATATATATATTATATACACACATACTTATATACAATATACATATATACATGCGTGCATACATACATACATACATACATACATACATACATACATACATACATACATACATACATACATACATACATACGTGTATGTGAAGTTCATGAACAATCGGATATTTTGCTATCCTACTACTAGCTGTTCTACGATGACAATTCTCGGTCATTTATTTACTTTACTTCTGCCAGTCGACTGTCATGTAAAATCTCTGAAGGGCGACTGAGTGAATGAAGAGTAAGATTTGTTTAATATCATATAATAAAATGTGATATATCTCTTCCGTAAAACGAAATTACAATTGGTTAAACCGTTAAACGATTAATCGAACCCAGGGGTACCATGAAAATCGAAGGATTACAATGATTAAAAGATAATACTCCGCCAATCAGATGATAACTAAACAATTATTTAAATAAAAGTTTTTATAGTTTTCCAAAGATGTCTCAAGTATGAAGAAATAAATTAAAACGATTAAATTTTTTTTTTTAGGTCTACAACTATTTCGCACAACACAAACAACACTAAACGAAAATTAAATCAATCACTGTAYATTAATTATTAATTTAATTACTTAACTACCACAGTAATAATATTATGATCTTCAATTTTTTATTTCATTTAGGTAGAAATAAAACTATAATTTGAATAGGTAATTATAAAAAAATCTTGAATGTTAATAAATAACATAGGTAGTAGGTACTAGGTACTGGCAGTAAGAACTTAAGATATTATTTTGGAATAGGTAGGTAACTAATTTGAATATTTTTTWAAATTTTTTTTTAAAATATGTTTAAAGAGAAATACGATAATTTTTCAAATATTTTCTCTCATTCGAGTAAGCATTTTCCCCRGGTTGATTGTAAAATTAGTCCAATATTATTGGTGAAATAACATAACAAAACTATCATTTTCCTAATTTTTAAGAAATATAAAATTGTGTGAGTTTTATAAATTTATTGTAACGATAATAATTTGTCTATAGTTCTTTAGTATAAAATAATATATAGACGCTGATGCTACAATATAATTATAAATTCTGAAAAGCCAACGATCAGTCTTAGTCTTAAATATATCCATGATACAGGAAAAAAACCTCTGTAATAAAAGGTAGATAAAACGTAGGTACCTACGTACTTAATAAAAAAATTTCAATTAAGTTACAGCAGTCGTGTTTCATATTGTTATTAAATTTGTGAAACATCTCTATATAAAATGACACCGCTACTGAAGTACCATAATTATTTAGCTGCCCATATCTTTTTTCTGTAAAATGAAATTATATGTATTCAACTCAAATACGTATGATTATATAAAGTTATATAAGGTAAAAATTTATCGGAATAAAAATTTAAGTAGAAATTAGCTTGTGAGCRGAGCGATCTATTTTTATAGTTTAAAGTTAACATGGTCAMAACTTTTGCAGCCTTCTATTTAAAATTAAAATATGACTCCACTAAAAGTACGTATTTAGAGTGCTAAAAACTAATTTAATAAATTTAATCAAATTTTTTCAGAAAGCCGCCTCTAATATTATAATATTATTACAGTTTTGAAAATGACATCCCTCTACAAAAGTGCCACCCTTGGTGCAAGCCTATCTCGACTATTCCTTGAGCCAAGCATGATTTTCTTTTGCAATATCTATTAATAGTTTAGATATTATGTGTTTAAAATTAAATAGCTTTAGCTAGATTAAGTGTGCTATAGAAGTTTAAAGTTTTGTTTCCCAAAGGGTATTATCTATACATATATAGGGTAGGTCGTATATTATAATATATAAAGTTAGTTTTTTTTTATAAATTTGAAATTTTTTTATTAAAATATTTTAAAAACAAATATAAATATTTTATAAAATAACTATTTAGGGAAAAAATAATTATTATAGAACAATAAACAAATTTGTATTTCAATATTTTAATATATTCGTTTAGTTACCGGCGTTTGTTTATTTTGAGCCTATAAAAGTACTTGTAACTGAGAAGTACAAAATATTTCTCGAAAATTTACCACTAGAAAAATACATTTAGTATAATATACTCTATTATAYTGATCTATATAGGTAAATTATTTTAATACAAATTAAAATCAACTAAGTATGAACAAATAACATAATATACATTTTTATAAAAATATTAATATTGCTTAATATGGATAATAGGTATCTGTTTTTTCTATAGAAAATATAGCCATATAGAAATAAAAATAATAATTTTAAGCTATAATCAACATTAACTTTTAACTTTTAAGTTCAAAATTGAATGTATTTCCATTATGATTTTGCTTGAACTGTTTGAGACGTTTAATAAATGATGAAGTTTTTTCAAGTTTTGAACCTATCAATTTTTTTAATATTCGAGAGGTTAAAAGGGCTYAAAGACTTCAAGATCAAGAATCATCACATCTTTTCTAAAATTTCAAAAATAAGACTGAAATAATACCAGGTTAATTGTATACGAGTAGTGTATACTAAATAATAACTATGATTAATATTCATATTTTGTTTTGTCTGATACAACGATAGTGTTTTTTAGTGTGATTAATGTTAATCG